AATGTAGTGGTTTAATATCAGATATAAACTGTTTAGATAAAGTTAATGATAAGTGAAATTAAATATGTAGTAGTTGTATTAATAACTGCTGAAAATTTTCGTGTCCAGACTTTGAATTCAGGTTTTTTTACTAATTGGTAAGACATTATTAGATTTTTTTCTAGTCCAAATAATTATATAAATAATTATCGAGATTTAATAAATATGCTACAATTTAAATAAGCATTGTCTATCTTGTATTTTATTATTTTCTTTTATAAAAAATTGGTAAAAATGTTAATATGCCTATTGTAATTATATCTAAAAGATATACTATATTGCTTCAAATTTATTTGCAAGTTTAAATTCGGAATATTCATCACTTTATTAAACATTTTATAATATCGTTTATTTTATAAGCAACTTAATTTAGTTTTGAAGTTTTGTCTTTTATTAAAATATATTTATCTAAAAAATATTTTTAAAGAATTGTTTGATTAATACATATATTTTATTTTCAGTTGTTTTCTTAGTAAAATAAAGAATGCTGTCACGTATTTAGCAAGTTATTCATGAAAGCGAGAGGTTCGTGAATATTCATAACTCATACAAACCGAACTTGAACATTGTTGATGTCTGATTACAATGCCTGCATTGTCAGGACCCAGTCCTGGAAATAACAGTAATGAAAGTAGTCCCAACGCTCAAATTAGTAATGAAGCCTGTGGGATACGAGACGTGTGGGCGTTTAATTTGGAAGAGGAGTTTAAGGCTATTCGTAAAATCGTCCAAGAGTACCAGTATGTTGCCATGGTAATAAACAGTCAATAGTTATCTTGATTTTGTTAATTTTATTTAGATATATTATAAACTTCAAACAAATATATTTTATATAATTACTCATATTGACATGACACTAATTTTATTCCACAGGACACAGAATTTCCTGGAGTTGTAGCACGACCAATTGGAGAATTTCGTAGCACAGCCGATTATCAATATCAGCTGTTACGTTGTAACGTTGACCTGCTAAAGATTATTCAATTGGGTCTTACATTTTTAGATGAGACCGGTAAAATGCCTTCTGGTGGATATTCGACATGGCAATTTAATTTTAAATTTAACTTGACGTAAGTTTATGTCATTGTAAATTTTCTATTCTGTTTAAAAATATCTGTAATTTTTAAAATCATTCTAAAGTTTTTTTTATTATATACATTATTTTAGTGAAGATATGTATGCCCAAGATTCAATCGATCTGTTAACAAATTCTGGTATTCAGTTCAAAAAGCATGAAGAAGAAGGAATTGAACCTTATGAGTTTGCCCAGTTATTGATGACATCAGGAGTTGTTCTTTCTGAAAATGTTAAATGGATATCATTTCACAGGTATAAGATAAATTATGTTGATATAAAAGCTGTTTTAGGTTACTGCTTTCTGAATACTAAATTTTTCATTATTTTTACTATATTTTGGAATTGATAATAAAATAATGTACATACAAACATGAATAAGGTTTTAATCTTTCAGTAAAGTTGTTTCCATACATTTTGTATTTGTCAGTTACTGAATAATTTCCGGTGGAGGTCAAAAGTACTTGTGGAATTTAATAGTGACATAACACTCGTAAAAAAAGGTTTTTCGTGGATTGTTATGAATAATTTCCTGTTTGTTTCCTTTGATTTCCTGATTTGATTGCCTATTTGTTCCCATTGATTCAGTAAATATATAGTAATAACACTTAAGTGTTGTGGTGTTATTAAAATAAACTTTAAAAATGAGAATGTTCGCTAGTACTTTCAGTAGCATAAAGTTACCTTCATCAGGCAAAATCGAATATAACAGCTATCGAGTTTTAAGCTTTCAAACAATGGCAATAAGCTTTTTTGATTCAGTAAGTTATACCGATAGAGAATAGGAAATACCAAATACAAAGTCTTAAGTAAATCATCCACACTACTCAGTATTAGGAAAATGTTTGCGTTTATGCAACATTTGGCAAATATGAAATATGTGGAGCCATTTTAAGATAATGATTTTAAAATACTAAAAGTGCTGGTTAAAATGCATTCTGTTTTCATTAATTTTTGAGATAGACTCATTTGTCTATCTTAGGAATTAAATTTTTGTACCATATAAGATTTTAGGTTATACAATCAACTTTTTTGAGGAGTAATGATTTTGTCAGTGCAAAGTGTATTGCACAAATGTTTTAGTTTGGTTTTTTCAAACATTTCAGTATAGTTCTTTCACCTTCACACTGGGCTTATTGTATAACATACCTTATTAAACCTTACTGGTGCCTAGTGACAAATTTCATGGGTAAACAAATGTTTTTGGGCTCCTTCTGAGCTCTGCTTTTTAAATGATCTGTGTTCTATGTATGTTCCATTCGTAAAATGCAGAAAACTTAAAGCAGAGCTCAGAAAGAGCCCAAAAATGTTTGTTTACCTGTGAAATTTATTACTAGGCACAGGTGAGGTTTAATGAGGTGTGTTAAACATTTTAGTTTTAGAACAGTAGAATACACAGCCTTATCACCAGCAGAAAATGTTTATACATCTACAAGTAGAAGATGCTCATTTTGACAAAGATAAAAGACATGAAAAATAGAATCAAATGCAAAAAATGTAAAAAGTTTGTATGGTCGTGTCATAAAACCCATGTAATGTATTGCAAGTTACGTGAAGACACTGATACAGATAAATTAAATATTTTACTTTGCATTCAGTGTTTTGAATTTAATAAGATTGTGTTTTTATTTGTCCATTTCTGTATTTTAATCAACTTTTCCATTTTTGTATATCAATGTTAAACTATTCAATAGAACTACTAGTAGGCTGGTGACAACATGCAAACAAAAAAAAAATGCATTTCCAAAATTAATGAACAAGAAATTAGCAAAAGAACTGCTCACTTTTACTGATTTCTTGGTTTCTAAGTACTGTAGAATGTTTATTAATAATAATAATCAGTAATTTGTTATTGTCTTTTACATTTCCAAAATTTTTGTATGTGGTTATTGTTTGTATTGGTTATTGTATGGGTGCTTATTATGTGGTTTAAATTGTTTTTTTTTACTGTATATTACTTCATTTTTTACCAAAAGATAATTTTAAACCAAGTATAAGATAGCTGTAAAAAACTTGTGCTTTTCAATGGGGTAGAAACTTAAGAAGAGTATTCATTGTTTTTCTATGTCAGGGCTACATGGGGTTTAAAATTTATAATAGGAACATAGAGTTTATTTTTAAAAACAATAAAAAAATTGATCAGCTTTTATGCATATAACTTTTAAAAAATGAAAAACATATTTATTAATTTATCTGTTTATTTGTACAATTATGACTTAGTTGGATTCTGCAATTATTACAGAATTTAGCTGTTTTTTTTAATAGGTAGCAAGAAATAAATTCAGACAAAACATTCAGACAAATGAACATTCTTAAAAATAAATTTTTAAGAATGTTCATTTGCCTGAATTTATTTAAATTTCTCTTATTTTTATTTTGTATTGCAGTGAAGCATTCAAGTTACATTCTATGCTACTAGTCAGACTAGAACACATTGTAATGATATAAATAACTGAAAACAATTGGAATCTAGTTTTATGTTAGTTTTCAAGCAAAAGTGAAATAGCAAATAATGTGGGAGCAAAAGAAAAATACTTGAATTAGAATTTAATAAAAATAATATACATATATACAATTATAAACTCAGAATCTTATAGTTATAGTTCTTTTTACCTCTGTGTCCTTACTTTTATAAATTTCTGTTTGTATTCTTGTCTACTTGGACCTTGTTTATTAATAGGATTTATTATACTGGTGTAGTTTCCAATTAGCAAATAGAGGACTTTGAGTAAGATCTCCTCTATTTGCTAATTGGAAACTACACCAGTATAATAAGTCTTATTCGTAACAAGACCCAATAGTTATATATTAAAGCCAAACAATTGCTGAATTATTATATTTGTAGTAATATTGGGCTATATTACTACTACTATTATTAATTAAATGCTAAGTAATTTGGCACTAGAGGCAGGCATTAGGTGCTATGTCTTTCTAATTTAATAATTAATTTAGAAGGTACTGGAAGAAAAGAATTGGCTCAAAGCAAGACTTGATCTGTGACTTCCACTTATCTAAATTGGTATGGTTATGTCTAAATTAATAGGTTCTGGAAGCGATGATTGGAACTGGCAACACGACTGCACGGTTTGCAGGAATTGTGGGTTTGAATCCCACTTTGGGCCTATTTTCTTCTTCTAGAACCTTCTAAATTAATTATTAAAATTTTAATTTAATTTTAATTATTAAATTTAGTAAGATATGGTACATAAAGGTGCAACTATGCAGATACAAATTTAGTAGCGAGAGAGAGATTGCGAGCGATATAGTTCTCACAAAGAAAAACATGCCTAAGCAAGAAGCTAGAAATCTCGCCGGTTTGAGTGAATTTCTGGTTCTTGTACATATCTGACAGGGTTTGATATTTATTGTGTCTCGCCTCTTCTCACCACATATTCTCGCGCACGTGGAAAATTCGCTCACTTGCATTTGCCTAGATACACTCTAACACATGCCTCTAGTGCCAAATTACTTAGCATTTAATTAATAATAGTAGTAGTAATACAACTTGATATAATTTGGCGTTACTATACAGATAGGTTAGAACATGTTCTAAAAGATGAAATACTTACTTCATTTAATTAAAAAAGTTAACTTTTAAATGTGAAAATGATTAACTCATGACATGTATCTCATTGGGACTTGGAATATGGCATGCATATCAAACATATATATATATTGTTAACAATTTAACAGAAATTTTAACTTCTACTGGAATTTTTATATTCAGCTTCATAAATTGGAATATTTTACATGCATAAACAACTTAGTTTAAAATTTACAATTGTATAAAAACACATCTATTAATGATGATTCTGAAATAGCTGGTTGGACTGATAAATTGAGAGAGACAGAAAACTACAGTTAAACAATTTTTGGTGACTTTAATTTAATTGTATTACAAAACATATTTTATTAGTTATGTTATTCTGTATTTTAACATATAATTTATGAATTTATGTGCCATATTATGTTATTTTTCTTACAATTTAATTTCTGTCAAACTTTTTTCATTTAGTTATAGATATTAACAGAATATTTAATATATACATGCTAAATTTTAAAAATAAGAATATCCATACATATTTTGAAACATTAAATCTATCAAGTGTATAATTCTGAATTAAAGTAGCTATAATTATTTTTTATTTGTATTTTATTAAGTAATATGCAAAGAAAAGATCCTCATATTATGGTTATTTGTTAAGCTATGATAGCGTTTAACTATTTATAAAAATGCTTCAGTATAACTATTATTAGAAATTATAATTATTATTTTTAAAAAATCATTAAAATATTCAAGTAAATAAAATTCCTTTTTTTAATTTTTCAGTGGATACGATTTCGGTTATCTTTTAAAATTATTAACAGACCAAAATTTACCTTCTGAAGAATCCGAATTTTTTGAACTTTTGAGAATATATTTTCCCACTATTTACGATGTAAAGTATTTAATGAAAAGCTGTAAAAATTTAAAAGGTGGATTGCAAGAAGTTGCTGAACAACTTGAGGTTAGTGTATAAATGAATATTAATATTATAATGATGACAAACTTGTATAGCAGCAAAAAAAGGTTTATTAAACTGGAAAATAATATTTTCAGTCATGTTTAATGATCTTCATCAAGTTTATATTCCAAAAAATAGAACATTTACAAATACTAACGGAAACAGATTAGAGATAGGCAAATGCTGAACATATTTAAATATAAAAAATATAAATAAAAAATTATATAATCTGCTACATTGCTGTGACATGCACAAAAAAAAAGACGAAATAACAAAATGCATGTTACCTTATGTTGCATAGATATCAAACCAAGGTTGTTAAGTATGCGATATCATCTTTATCGATTGATGTTTGTTGTTTTTTTTTCTAGTTTAACAAACCTTTTCTGCTGCTGCTGTACAACGTTGTGTGTATATGATTGAGCTAACAGCACTTGCTCTACGTATCAAAACACTTTAGGGTAAATTTGTTGAAATTTATAAATGGATTACAACATTCAGTAGCGCAAATATAATACATGAATTTCAGATTATAGAAAATTTATAAAAAAATTAGCATTTTTGTGGATTTCTCGCAACTGTAATCTATATATACAGTATAAAGAGAAAAGTTTTTTGTGTCTGTCCTTTTGCATTTGAAGAAAGTATGAGAACATTTAACCAAACTTTACAAACATTATCCTCTCATTCATTGTCTTTTTGAAATTTATATAATGTCAAGAGTGCAATATCAAATTTTTCTGAGCACTGCCAAGTATATCTGCTAGTTTTAAACATGTTTAAATATAGTTTCTGTAAAATCTGACATGAAAATGTAATAATATATAGTAATTGTATGTATATTTTGTAGACTATACACTTTCAAATGCAGGATTATCGAATTTAAAGAATTATTTAATATAAGTATAATCAGTGATTCTAACAATAAAGGAAATGTACAGGATTTGTTTCTTATAAAATATATTCTGAGTTAATAAAATTAAGTTTTAATGGGATTAATATTGAAAGAGTGGAAATTATCAAAAATTCAAATCTATTTTTGAAAATTAAACTAGTTTTCTGCAAGTTTGTATTGTTTGGCAATATGATTATGTCTTTTTGTTTCTTCTTCAGCTCCTTTAACTTTTTAGGCTAAAAATAAAACTGTATATCTTTCTTGCTTAGATATAGTAAAAACATAATTAAACAACTTTGATATATAGAAATAATTGCTACTAAAACTGTAATGCATGTGAAAATTTTATCCAATTTAGATGTTTTTGGAATTTCCCATTTTTTTGCATTCCATAAATCAATAATTCATATACTATTTTTCTTTTTTGTGTTTCCTGTTTGAAGTATGAAATGTGCTAGGTTTGAATAACTATGAAATATGAATTTCAAGTGAAATAATAATATGCTTAAATTAACCAGGATTCAACAGTATAATTTAATGTTAAATTAAAATTATAAAACGTAAGAAAAAATTAGAATTTTTTGTGTTCTTATCAATCAGATACAGGTATAAGTAACATTCATTAATTTTTCATATTAATATTTCTTATAAACTTGTGCATTAAAGTATAATTAATTTTTATCTTTGAAATTTTAAGACTGCAATTATTTTATTTTGCATCTTTTAATTTAGAATACTAACAAAAAATTCTTTAATTCTTTTTTTATATCACTTTATTTTGTTTATTTTTGTTAATACACTAGTATCTTTTTGAATTGGTAAAACATTTATATGAATCAAGCTTTATTTTGTAATTTAAAAGAAAAAAACAAAATATGATTATTAATTTTTGCATAATTTTTAATTACAGTAAGGAGTTTTATTTATTTTTTCAATATTTCACTTCATATAAACTAAATTTTTGAACTAATCATTCATGAACAGTAAGTATAATATAACAATATAATAAAATTACTTAAAATATACAAAATACATTTGAAATATATACAGAATTATAAAAGAAAAAGAACAAAATTGATTGAAAACTGATACTTTTGCGAAAGTCTGAATGGGATAAGTTTATTTTTATATTCTTTTCAGGTTACTATAATATAATAGAAAAACTTAGTTTCATAATACAGTTAATAGGAGAAAAAGTAAATTAAAATTAGGAATAATTGTTTCCTTAAATAAATTAAATTTCAATTTATTATAATAAAATTTAATTTCATTATACATAATGATTACTATTAATACAAATTACATTTTCAGTTTATTTTAAATTGATTTGCATTTTTCTTGTACTTAATAATCAAATAGAAATGATATCAGAAATTTTATTATAATTATTGATTTATTATACGAATAAAACCTTATTGTATATAAGAATAATAATTAATTTTAACATATAAAGTATTGTAATAAATGTATTACAGTCAAGTGTTGTATTTAATCAAAACTTTTCATCATTATTTATTTGGTTCCTTCATACGAAACATAGACTCAAACATCCAATGTAAGTGTATGATTTATTGTATATGTAGGGATTTACAGACACAGTACACCCATCGCAGGGCCCAAAAAAATCTAAAAGGATAGATCCCTCAACCTGTACAGTTACGTCCTACTCTCCCTTGATATCTTCGATATGGTCTATGCTTCATTTGAAGGAACCAAATAGATATTATTAGAACTTTTACTTACTTTGCATGCTTCTTAAATACACTTTTAAAGTTATTTTGTGTTTATATCAACATTACAAACATAATCATTTTTAATATTCAATAATTAAGTTTGTTTTTTGCTAGTCGTATATATAGATTTGCAAATTGAAAGCTTTTAAATATTGTCAATCAACAAAATTACAAAAGTAATTGTCAAATTTTAATAAATAGAAATGAAAATTCTGTAATTACAAACTTGTAAACTGCAGGCGATCTAATTACTAGTACTTGGTGTATTTGTTTTGTATGTATATGTGTAAATCATAATGTCAAGATCGAGTACTGTCTTTCCATTTGTAATCAGTAGTAATATATTCATATTCAAGGTTTATGAATTGTGCAACTATAATTATAATATCTTTTTCTTATTCTGTATTTGTATTTGTAATCAATTTCTTATGATTGAATAAAAAAGTTTCCTTATTTATAAAACTATTACAATTCATTTCAAATTCATTGAAGTTCCTTAATAAAGAGTTCTTGAAGATTTTCTATTGAGACACTCTTTGAGAAATGGTGTGATCCATTTCACTTATACACTATCTACTTTATGTTTATAAGTATAAAATAGATAGTGTATATGTTTAGAGCCGTGGTTACTGCTAAATTAATGACTAGATAACTTATTTTCAGAATAATATTTACATCTTTTCTATAGAGATTAAATGTGTTATCATTTTGTGCAATGTCATTTAAATGTTGTCATCATATACAACATTTGCATGATGATATCACAGATGACACAGCTAACAATGTTATGCATGATGTCACCGGCAGATCAGTTTTGTGGAATGACGTTGACATCAAGGTTAACTTTTACATGAATATGTGAGTATGTCATGATTCATTTTGAGAATATCTGAGATATAGAGGGGAAAAAGGATCATTTATTACTTATTTAGCAATTGGATTTAGTTTACTTTTACAATTACATATAAACAAATTTCAGTTACTAAAAAATGTATATTGAAACCTGCTAATGTGACCACCTGTGTAAGATGACCACTTTGAGCTGGTCCGTTCAGTGGTCACATTAGCAGGTTTTACTGTACATTAATAACACATGGTACAGTTACTTTCTAGCACCCTCTCGGCTGTACACTGCAGTCAGATTTTGATAATGGTTTGATTAATTGTTCATCTACATTTCAGATTTTTTCCGACAATAAAATAATAAAAATTAGTTTCTTGTTATAAGATAAATGATTTTATAAGTTGAATTATTTTCAGGTATTGAATATTTAACAATTTTCATGAATTAATTTTCATTAGTATTCAGAATGTTTTAATCCATGGAGCTTTCAAATTTCTATGTATTGAATATTCAACAGTAGTATAGCAAACCATGCAGTTTCAGTTGTTGAATATTCAGTGATTGATTAGAATAAGTTTTAAAATTAAAGATTGTAAATTCTACTTTCCTGTGTGTTTAATAATAATGATTTATTTTATAAGATATTAAATAAATTGAAAGGTTTTAAAGTGAATTTAAAAAGTATTTTAATTTAAAATTTTAAACCTGATAAAGATGAAAGAAAATAAAACAAGAATTGTTAGTTGGGTTTATTGGCACAAGGGTTTTTGTTTTTTCAGATGTTTTAATTACTTAATAAATGATTATACAGGGTGCTTAGTAAAGTCCCTATACGCCAATGCACGACATACAACACACAGTAATGAATGCAACAAGTATGCAGGAAAATGAGAAATGGACATGTTATAAATAAACACATGAGAAATACATGTTTTACCATCTGTGCTTGATGTGCAAGTTAGCGTTTTGTCCTTTCTATTCGTACTATTTACGTATGCAGGATGTCCTTTTGTACTAAATCAGTCATACTCTACAACTTTGTAATTGACTTTTTTCCATATTGTTCATTGTTTGTGAAATTAGAGTGCTAAATTGTGAATTTTATCCCTAGAAGCACTGCAAACAGTCTTGTCTCGTAGCACATAGTCACTTTACCATAACTGTAAATCATCATCATAACTGTAGCTATCTGCATTTGTCAGTTACATGGATACATAAGGACTTTACTGTTCACCCAATATGTCTGCTGTTCTTACTGTACCATTATAATATTAAAACAAGAAGCTTTTTTTATGTTATTTATGAATTTTCCTATTTTGCAAAGATACTTTACTGTTAAAATATACTGATAATGCACTTTCATCTTATCATAGATATGAAATTACATAATTACAGCTCTTTTAGTAGTTGGCCAGATGACTGAGTTGATAAAGATATTATTGTATAAAGAGACAGTTATTGAAATTGTTATTCTGTTGTGATTTGTTTGAGATATTCGAGAATTCAATTAGAGTATTAATGATGAAGTTATATCAAAATATTTAATTAATAATGATAAATGTCTGCATTCTTGATTTGTAAGAATGAAGATATAATTTTATTTTAATGCCAAATAAACTGTGAAATATTAAATCTATTAGCTTTAAGATTCTTTAATGAAACATGCATTTACATTCTCAGATTAAAATACAGTAAGGAAGATTATAATTTATCTACAGATTTTGTTTATGATGTAAAGATGAATTGATGTCTTTAAAGTATTTATTCTATTACAAAAATTTTCATTTTAAACTCTAATAATTAGCATCTTTCCGAAAATAAATAAACTAATAATTTATTTCCTAAGTAATAAACAACTTTATCTTTAATTAACAATGTCAACAAATGCTAAGAACTTTCAAATAAAGAATAATCTTTAAATTGAATGTATTAATGACGATTTGTAGATGATGTAAAACATCTCGAAAAATATTTAATCATGAATAAATCTTTGAGCCCGTTAAGCTTTTAACATTTGTTTACTTTGTTAAATTATATTTATATAGCTTTTGAAATAATTTCATTAATTAAGTTATGAATATGTCTTTGTTTGGAAGTAATTATATTATTATTGTTTGTTTAGCTTGAAAGGATAGGACCCCAACATCAAGCAGGAAGCGACAGTTTGATAACTGGTGCATCATTTTTTAAAATGAGAGAGGTAATTATAATCTTTATAGGTAATTGTTAACAGTGATGTGCTACTTAATGATGGTCTGCATATACATTAGAGGTACTATAAGATTATAATAAAGATGATAAATTCATAGCTGCCTATATAAGTAGTAGAGTAGACAATATAAAATTTAAGTACACTCTATAATTGCTTCGAACATATCCCTGTCATCATGTGGCATTTACCCACATTTATTCAATATATTCAAACAGAAATAATAGTAATAACTATCATTTTTTCTCTTTTGAAAATATGCAAGTAGTAATAATTTACAAATATTAAATAACATTTTATTTTTTACTGTTATTTAATTTATTATTATTTGAGAAATGTTCTCTCCATGGTTGAATGTGCTTTTATTACATACCAGTCGTGTTCAGGATATACGAAAAATAATTATTCATTTAACAACAGTTTAACATATTTAAATTTTATAATTAATACATTAAGAGGGTTTGTTTACAAGTAAGAAACAAATTATTATTCTGAAATCTTATAGTAAATTCTTACTTTAAATCATCTAATATTTCAACCATAATTGTTACTTATATTTATAAATTATACAGCGCTGTTTAAATGTATAATTTATTGAAAAAATTAATTTTCTATGTAGATGTCACATAACAAATAAACATATTCTCTGTTAAAAGTAATTGATTTACATAATAGAAAGGTTCTAGATCACTGATAAATAAATATTTACTAAAGTTATTTCTTAAATATCCTGTAAATGTACAGTTTAAAAATTTGCTATATGTTCTTTTGAACGAGTAAAAAATTATTTTACTTCCTCAACAAATAAAATTACAAGATATAACTTGTACATTTGCTCATTAATATTAATTAATACTAATTAATTTGAAAAATCATTGTTTAACTTAACGATATTTAAATCTTTTCATCTTTGGCCGCTGCAGTTACATACCAGTGTATTGATTTGCATTAGAATCTGGTCATTGCTTTTTTTTTTATCACAGTAAAATTATAAGTCAATCAATGTTTGCTAATTTTTATTACAGAGGAAAACATTTTTTGATGTGTGTCTGTGTTGGATTGTTATTCTATAACATGTAATTTAACAGAATCATTTGTTTTGCTTTTTAAACTGAAGTAATTGGTTGTTAAATTTTCATTATTGAATAAAGAAAAATTTTATGTAGCATTTGACTGATGAAATTTACTTTAATTTCACTAAAATTGTTTGAAAGCACTCAAAATTTAACACAAATACAAACTATACATCCTCCTTTTTGACGACAACTAGAACTTTTTTGTCATCAAACAGTAAGCCAGTTGCAAACATCCGGTTTAGAGCAAATGATTATTTTATTAACTTTATCTAATTGTTTTTGTATCCTCTCTTTGATTGCTCTATTCATTAATGTTTGTATATACATTTCTTATCTGAGTCTTTTACTGTATTTCTACTTGGATGTTTTTCATTCAGTTTTCTCTCACTCACATATATATAATAAAATATAAACCTTTATATTCTGGTGCTGAAATTTTATGGAAAGACAAACAAACAAAGTAAATAAAATGTCGTTGATTGATGCATATATTTTATGGCATATAAGATGCACTCCCATTTCAGCATGGAATATTTAGAATAAACTATTTAGTGTATCAAGACATTCTGCACTTTTGGCACTAGGTCCTAAATATTTTTACTGTTTAAAGAAATCACTTACAATTAAAATTTCCAACAGTGAGCAACAGGTAGAGATTATCTGTAGACTAATGAAGGCCTTTTGGGAAATTCATTCATCTATGGAAGATTACAACTTCATTTATATGATTTGGGGTAATTTTTCAAGTCTTTTTTGGATGAAAGTAGTTTCCTATATGCTGAAGAATACAGTAATAATTTGGAGACACGATTTACACTTTTTAATTAATTTTAGAGATTTTTTAAATTTTTTTTTTGTAAAAATAAAGAGGATTTCTGATTCTTAACATCATTTCTAATCATTTAAAAAATCACTAATGTTTGATCAAGTTTTTTGAGATGAAATAAAAATCTTGTATTGCTTTTAACATCTGTGTTGTTGATATTTTTTTGACAGATGTTCTTTGAAGATAACATCGATGACGCAAAATATTGTGGACATCTGTATGGTCTCGGAACATCTTACATTCACAACGGGAATTCGTATCCAGATGATGCTCCTTCGTCCGGGACTCTCTCTTCCTGACCTTGAAGAATCGTGTCGAAATGTCGAATCCAAATGAAAGACCAGCGATGTACAGACTTCTTACAAGCATTTTGATTGCTAGGCATTTGTAGTCTTGCATGTGACACCTTTACATGTCAGTTCTTAGACTTCTATTAATTCAACGTATGAGGTGTGATTTATATGTTTTGGAATCAAAAGGAATTTTTTCAGAGGGAATGGAAAAAAAAAAACAGATTCACATCATCTGTAAGTTTTATTTTTGTTTCAGATATGCACAGAATGGCATCATAGTATTATATATATATAAAAGTAAGATACAGTTTTTCATAAAAGACCATAACAATTTGTCCCATAAAATTTATAATTTGTAATTGAGAGAGTCGACTCTTCGTTAGAAAAGTCATTCTTAAATACTCATCTTATATTTCTGTATACTTTCTTAAATGTAAAAAAAAAAAATATATCTCCCATTTTATAAGTTTTGATACATTGTATACTTTACTATATTGCATTTACTTTTGTTTAGGCATTGTCAGCTCTTCTAATTGTACAGAATGTCGTCCGGATTATTAATATATTAAGAAAACGATTCCCATAGCAAATTTACTTTTGCTCTCCGTGCGTATAAAACTCATTTTCGATACCGATCCCATTTTAAAATGCATGATCCATTTAGTCATTTTTTTCTCTGTTTAAAAAAAATATTTCTCTGTATTTATGCTGTTTAGAAATTTAAGCTTAACTAAATTGATAAGTCATTTACCAGTGCATGTCATATAACAGCGATGTGTCATTAATAAGAGAAAAAGAAAAATCTGAATTGTTTTTCTTTACAGAATAGAAATGATGCTATAAGTGTTGGTGTGCTTGTAATTCATTATGTAAATAAACAACTTTAAAAAAGCAAAGTTTTATTTTATATTTACTTTATTAAACAGTTTATACTTTGATGTTAAACATTAGAATCGTTTAATTACTACAAAACTACATTTTAACAGTTATTTAAAGAAAAATTCTACCAATCTTGAATTGTTTTGACACTGAAATTTCATAGATTAATATAATATTTGTACTGTATACTTATAATTGATATTGATTTCATATCATGTTTATGTTTGTCAATTGTCAGGATGGCCATGTTGATGCTGACTACTGGTCCATATATGCAGAATTGCAAACAGTCTACACAGAGATTAATGGAGTTATCGATTGATTTGTAGATGAGTTTGAGAGATGCTTTTAATTGACTTGTGAGCACTAAAATTGGCCTTTCTTTATTGCTAGACTTATTACACCACCATAGGACATCACATTAGCCTTATAAAATCACTTTATTATTTCAAAATGAATGCATTTCGGACCTGAAGTCCCTCATCAGCTTGTACACTAACTATTTTTTACTAGGTGCTTTTAAGTAAAGAATATTGTATTGAGATTACTTTACTGCTTGGTTTTGGTTGCTATGTCATAGGCATTCAATGCCAAGCATGACCTGGTGGTTCCAGGGCATGGAGGATTCAGGAGCTAAAGTGTTCAGAGACGAGTACTAGTTGTCTATTCCTGGAAACTGATGTAAGCCAAAGAAGCATCCAATGGATTGGCCACTTGAACAAGTAATATCCATACAAGATACAACTGCTTGTATTGGTTATACAACATGCATCTGCTGCAACACTTCAGCAAAAGTAATTACAACAAATGGACAGAATGTTCTGAATGGGTGCAGGAAAGACTGCAAACAATGTTGACTTTGGAAAAGACATTCTTTTCTCCAATAACCATAACTGGAGAGATTAACAGATATGACATGATACTACAATGATCCCAATCCTCATTGGATGTGGGCACACAAATGAAGGAAAGCAGTCAGATAATGGCTTACTTTGGGATCAGGGACCACTTAATGGCAATCTAAATGGGATCAGGTGCAGGCACAACTGGAGGTCATGATTATACCTGGTGAATGAGGATATGACTTTCCTGCCTATTTTGAACAAGATGGAGCACCCACCCCATTATGCTAGGATGGTGCATGTTTGGCTGGATTACCAGTTTCTGCATTTCTGGATTAGACAATGTGGTCCCATTGTGGTTTCCACTGTCACCAGACCTGACACCACTAGATTTTTTTCTCTGAAACTATTTGAAAGAGGAAAACCTACCATCGTAGTAGATTTGGGATCCAGATCACTTGAAAGCATGCATTTTAGTTGTATGTACGTACTTATGTAACACATACTATGCTCGGATGTACTGTACATCATGATTGGCAGGAGCATGTGGACAAGTGCATTCAGGTGGAAGATGCTCATATCAAACACATGTTATAGTGTAATGCATATTTTTCCATATAATATAAATTTAAAAATTTATATTATATGGAAATTTGTATTGTCAAAATATCTCAAATTTATTTCTCCTTACTCAGTGTCATGCTTTACATATAATAGAATAAATGAAGATCAGCATAATTGTATGGCTCCAAAGTTGTTGGACATCCAGTATATTAAATATTTACTGTAACACAAGAAAACATTTTTCAAGAAATTATGGTAAATTATATAAAGTGTACTGTATATCATCATTAGACTCTGGACGATACTAATTTTAACTTCATGTTTGCTTAAAAACTACTGCAGAGACTAAATGTAAATAAGTATATCAGAGTTCTTTTTATAATATTTGTGATCTTAGATTTATGTTCATAAAGATTTGTATAAATCTTTCAAAGTAATTAATTCATTCTAATATATTAGGAATGTGGAATGGCAAATATTTATTCTACATTGAATTAATGATACAATAGTTAAAAATTAACTTACAATAAATCAGGTTAGAAAACTGTATGTCGATGAAGGTTATAAAGAATCTAAAATGCAATTTAAAATGTATTTTATTAAATTAAAGATTAATTTTTTTTTAAATATTAAAAACATATATATATGTTTTTAATATTTAAAAAAAAATTAATCTTTAATTTAATAAAATACATTTTAAATTGCATTTTAGATTCTTTATAACCTTCATCGACATACAGTTTTCTAACCTGATTTATTGTAAGTTAATTTTTAACTATTGTATCATTAATTCAATGTAGAATAAATATTTGCCATTCCACATTCCTAATATATTAGAATGAATTAATTACTTTGAAAGATTTATACAAATCTTTATGAACATAAATCTAAGATCACAAATATTATAAAAAGAACTCTGATATACTTATTTACATTTAGTCTCTGCAGTAGTTTTTAAGCAAACATGAAGTTAAAATTAGTATCGTCCAGAGTCTAATGATGATATACAGTACACTTTATATAATTTACCATAATTTCTTGAAAAATGTTTTCTTGTGTTACAGTAAATATTTAATATACTGGATGTCCAACAACTTTGGAGCCATACAATTATGCTGATCTTCATTTATTCTATTATATGTAAAGCATGACACTGAGTAAGGAGAAATAAATTTGAGATATTTTGACAATACAAATTTCCATATAATATAAATTTTTAAATTTATATTATATGGAAAAATATGCATTACACTATAACATGTGTTTGATATGAGCATCTTCCATCTGAATGCACTTGTCCACATGCTCCTGCCAATCATGATGTACAGTACATCCGAGCATAGTATGTGTTACATAAGTACGTACATACAACTAAAATGCATGCTTTCAAGTGATCTGGATCCCAAATCTACTACGATGGTAGGTTTTCCTCTTTCAAATAGTTTCAGAGAAAAAAATCTAGTGGTGTCAGGTCTGGTGACAGTGGAAACCACAATGGGACCACATTGTCTAATCCAGAAATGCAGAAACTGGTAATCCAGCCAAACATGCACCATCCTAGCATAATGGGGTGGGTGCTCCATCTTGTTCAAAATAGGCAGGAAAGTCATATCCTCATTCACCAGGTATAATCATGACCTCCAGTTGTGCCTGCACCTGATCCCATTTAGATTGCCATTAAGTGGTCCCTGATCCCAAAGTAAGCCATTATCTGACTGCTTTCCTTCATTTGTGTGCCCACATCCAATGAGGATTGGGATCATTGTAGTATCATGTCATATCTGTTAATCTCTCCAGTTATGGTTATTGGAGAAAAGAATGTCTTTTCCAAAGTCAACATTGTTTGCAGTCTTTCCTGCACCCATTCAGAACATTCTGTCCATTTGTTGTAATTACTTTTGCTGAAGTGTTGCAGCAGATGCATGTTGTATAACCAATACAAGCAGTTGTATCTTGTATGGATATTACTTGTTCAAGTGGCCAATCCATTGGATGCTTCTTTGGCTTACATCAGTTTCCAGGAATAGACAACTAGTACTCGTCTCTGAACACTTTAGCTCCTGAATCCTCCATGCCCTGGAACCACCAGGTCATGCTTGGCATTGAATGCCTATGACATAGCAACCAAAACCAAGCAGTAAAGTAATCTCAATACAATATTCTTTACTTAAAAGCACCTAGTAAAAAATAGTTAGTGTACAAGCTGATGAGGGACTTCAGGTCCGAAATGCATTCATTTTGAAATAATAAAGTGATTTTATAAGGCTAATGTGATGTCCTATGGTGGTGTAATAAGTCTAGCAATAAAGAAAGGCCAATTTTAGTGCTCACAAGTCAATTAAAAGCATCTCTCAAACTCATCTACAAATCAATCGATAACTCCATTAATCTCTGTGTAGACTGTTTGCAATTCTGCATATATGGACCAGTAGTCAGCATCAACATGGCCATCCTGACAATTGACAAACATAAACATGATATGAAATCAATATCAATTATAAGTATACAGTACAAATATTATATTAATCTATGAAATTTCAGTGTCAAAACAATTCAAGATTGGTAGAATTTTTCTTTAAATAACTGTTAAAATGTAGTTTTGTAGTAATTAAACGATTCTAATGTTTAACATCA